AATGCCAGCCTTATGAATTAAACACGAAGAAGCCGAGTGACGCGTTTCGTAATTAAAACTTGCCAAGCGCACTTGCAAAAGTTTATTATGCGCCGCTGTCTGCCTCTAGCCGCGCCTCTCTCTAACCCCATCTCATGCTGCTGCTGCCGCTGTCGCTGCTGTTGTCGCTGTCAAATTCATAATCTGTGGCATAGTTGGCTTTGAGGCAAAAAGAATGGTCGCTGCTGTTGACGGTTTTTGCGCCCGCACTGCCTGCCACAAAACACAAAAAAGCCGTGGCCAGTTTGGCCTAAAAGAATGCGGCCAAAATGCTTTTGTTCGGCTACCTGGCGCACAGCTTTGGTCGGGCAATGTCAAAGCCTGTTAGCTACGTTATTAGCGCATGATTGAAAACCGCAGGCGATTTGTTGTTGTTGTTGGCTTGAGGCCTCTTCAAACTGCATTGCCATGAAAATTAGGAAATAGACGAAAACTGACTGCATAATACTCTGTAAACTGTTAGATTAATATTAGATTTGTAAGTGATGTATACTCTTTATATAAAATGTTTATAATTCAAAGTAGTTGGATAGATGCTCCCTACTATTAGCTTTAGGCTGAAACTATAAAGCCAAAAGCTCACTATGATACAGCTTAAAGTTGTTGAACAGTTAAATGTTATGTAACATAATGTAAACTAACAAATGTAAAACTTTTCTTTGACCTTATAGAAACCTTAATGCCTTTTTTAAAGCAAGTAATTATGATCAAATCAAATGTGTTCTAAAATAAAAATTGTGAATTATAAAAAATTTAATATATAGTATATCTGCTAGGTACATGTAAATACTTAAATAGGGCTTTCTACTCTGCTTGCCTTTGTGACTTAGAACGTGCAACCTAATCTCCCTTGCAAACCACCTGCAGCTGGTCTAAATCTACATAATTAACATCATTTACCTTCGAGCTTGCCTTAAGAATTTCAACAGCTAATATTCTCTCTATCTACAGTACATACAACCCTATATACTCCATTATACTTTGTAAGCAGCTTTTCAAAGCTTATCTCACTCTTCCGTCCTCTTGTAGTTCTACCAAATCAAATTTACCTTTCATTAGCCGTGCAATTTGACAAAAGCCCATATATACTTCTGCATTTGGTGAGCGGCGTATTCAAGCCAAATCTGCGCTCTAAGCCCTCATGCAGCTGGGCCAATAATTGAACGCTTATCCGCGGCCGGCCATCAATTTACATTTGACAAGCAGCGGCAGTTGGCTTTGACGCAATTTCCCAATTTCGCAATTTCTTTTTGGTTTGTGTTTTTTTTTGTTTTGTTTGTTTAGTGGTAGCACCAGTTGTTGTTCACCTGGCTAACCCTTTTGTTATCGCTGCAGCCCACTACCGCTGCCACTGCTGCTGCCTTTTGTTTGCTTGATTAAATTATTTTTCATTATTTACCAAATAAAAGCAGAGGCAACAGCCAAGAGACACTTTGAGCAAAGCAACACAACGGCTGGCTTACACATTTAATAAGTTTATTATTAGCAAACAGCGACGAGGCAAAAGAGCAAAAAAGAGAAGCAAAAGGCAGTTGGATACATAAAGCGCGCCATTATGAAAAAGTATCTTATCTAAAGGATGGCTTCAATTGCGCACGGGATTTGTCATTTTGAGCTGTGTCAACACGCCCCCCAACGAAATTCATTTTCATGCCCAGCAAACAATTGCTGAATGGGGTCGCTTGGGCGCTTGAGCGCATTGGTCAGATTGGTCTTTGAGAGCAATGACTGACTGATTGAATGACTGACTGACTATGAATGATGATGAGTGAATGTTTAATTGACGCTTAGGCCAGTCGGAAGGAATGATTGAGTGATTAACTGATTGACTACATCTGATCAACTAACTCTGATTGACTGTCTGATTGACTGTCTGTCAAATGATTGAAAGGCTGATTGATTGACTCTGAGTGAATGAGGGGACTAAGAGTCTTTGACTGTCTATTAATTGATTGCCTGTCTGACTAAATGTGACTGACTGGCAGATATATTGATAAATTGACTGACTCACTGACTGATTGAAAGAATTGTAGAATGATTGACTAAATCTGTCTGATTGAATATATTGCTGATTGATTGAATTGATTGACGTTCTGCTGCTGCGTTCCCTGCTCAAGATAAGAGAACTTGCTAGCTGTGGCCTCTAGGGTATCTTATGAATTGCGTTACTCAAATATCTTGAAACTTGTATACTTTTAATAAAAGTACTTAAACATTTTGCTGCTATATCTATCAAATATGCCCCTTCTCACAGTCTGCCTGAAATATTACAAAATCTTATTTAATTGACTCACTCGAATCACTCGCTTTATTATTCGAGCTCATGCTTGCTTGCACCGCGGATATTTCATACCGTTTTAGGGATAAATAGATTTCTCTTAAGGCTTTAAAGAACCTACTATTGCAACAGCTTTTGAGCTGCGTGAATATCTGTTTGCGGTTAATTTGCAGGGGCAGCGAGCAAAACCACAAGGCCAGGTGGGTCGTCAAGGTGTTTCCTGTGCATAAGTAGCTGAGCAGCTGTGCTGCACTTGTGAATGGCAGGGATTATACGCATTACCTTGACAGCGCCAACGTAAAGAGTTCTGCCCGCTTCGGTTTCTTGTTAGGAAAATGTGTTTGTGCGCCTATTTTATACTTAAAGGTAGATATAATAGCATTAAAAATATGAGAAAAAGTAAGAGTAAGATAGAAAGAGTAAGATAGAAATTGAAAAATGAGAAGCTGAAGCGAATCATTCAAATCTATATTAATTCTTTTACTCATACACGCAACCACAGCAGCCGCCTATAATTTTCCCAAAAAAAAAAATAATAATAATAATAATAATGATAATATTAAATAAATAAATAATAATAATAAATACTTCATAACAATAATAATAAAATTAATAAAAAAAAAAGTCTATAGAACTCATTTGAAAAATATCCAGGAAGGCAAAGCAGGTAATGTAGAAAAGAAATTTGTTCTATTCCACGAAAAATTTCTTAGATCCCGAATTTAAATTTCCACCCGTACCCACCAAAATTCTCGATAGATTTCAAAGTGCAGTAATTTTTTGGATTCCCGGTTGTTGAGCTATCGAGATTTTTCGAATAGCTTTAAATTATTAAACGATTGAATTTACTTAGTGATTAGTTTATTAGCGATTATTAGAGTTTACAGAGTTTATGTGATAGACGCGAGCAAGCGACTAGTCTGTCGTGCTGTCCGCTACTATGTTTGTAATAGTCAATCTAACACTGCATCTGCTCTAAACAAGAGTTAATTGCATACTAACTACAATGTACGCGAGCCGGCGGATTAAGCTGAGCCGGTGCGTGGGTGAAAGAGACAACGCAAAAGGGAGAGCGTGATCTCCGTTACAAATTCTCTTACATGATAACATATTCTATGAACTGCCGCTCTTAATTACAATGAAGCGATGATTGCTGAGCCCAACATCCTCCCCCCGTTGAAGACTTAGTCTTCAACAGAATCCTTAAGGGGCAGCAAGCACAGCTTATTTGTAGCTCTTCTTATCTCGCCAACTTCAGTTTTTAGTAGGGCTACCCGTGCAACGCCATCACTTCCAGGGATAAGTTCGATTATTCTGGCTAGTGGCCACTTAAGTGAAGGTAGATTCTCATCCTTCACAAGAACTATGTTGCCAACAGCCAAGCCAGGTTTAGAGGTTCTCCATTTCGCTCGCTGTTGTAACAAGTTGAGATATTCGTCCCGCCAACGAGTCCAGAACACCTGCTGGAGATAGCTTACGCGCTGCCAAGCATCCAAACGATTAAAATTGAGCCCGGTTAGGTTTGGCTCACTGAAAGACGAAGGAGGGCCACCGTTGAGGAAATGCGCAGGAGTCAACACGTCTATGTCTGATGGGTGCTCTGAAATCGAAACTAAAGGGCGTGAATTAACGACAGCAGCGATGTTGCAAACCAGTGTGCGAAGCTCATCGTAAGTTAGGACGGAGGACCCAACACATCGGTAAAAATGATGCTTCGCTGTCTTCACTGCAGCCTCCCACAAGCCACCAAAGTGAGGTGATCGTGGAGGGATGAAATGCCATTCGATTGAGTCTGCCAAACAGAAATCCTTCACAGCCTTCTGGTGGGTGTCTGACAGAAATAGACGCTTCAACTCCTGAAGCTGATTGCGGGCACCAAGAAAGTTTGTGGCGTTATCCGACCAGATTTGACTTGGCTTTCCTCTGGTGCATATGAAACGTTGAAGTGCATGCAAAAATGCCGCGGTAGTTAAATCCTTGACTAACTCCAACCAAATAGCCTTCGTAGCAAAACAAATAAACACACAAACGTAGCATTTCACAGGCGCCTTGTTTCGTGACTCAGGCTTGTAAAAGAAGGGTCCGCAAAAGTCGACTCCAGTCACTCCAAAGACCCGATAGCCGTCGACTCGATCCTTGGGTAGATCTGCCATTATGTGTTCAACGAGTCGGGGCCTTGCACGAAAGCAAATTACGCATCTCTGAATTACACTGGCTACAGTTTTTCTACCTCCAATTGGCCAATATTGGGAACGAACCAACGCTAGCACTGCTCGGGGACCAGCGTGCAAGTTTCGCTGATGGAAATGCATTATGATGGCTCTAGTTACTGGATGAACTTTGGGCAAAATAATTGGATGGCGACTATCGAAATTTAAAGTTGAGTTTTTGAGACGACCATCGACACGTAGCAGCCCAATCTCATCAAGGAACGGTGACAGCGAGGCTAGACTGCTGGATGACGGAACCATTCCTTTATTTCGAAGAGCATTTATGTCGTCTGAGAGATGTGTTCGTTGAATCATTCTTAACAGTATATGAGTGCCGTTCCGGATGTCTGCTAGGGTTATTCCTGGACCATGACTTTTTTTAATAAACTTTGATACGTATGCAAACGTACGCTGCAAGCGGCCGAAAGAATTCACAAACTTGCAGTCCATAGAGACATCATGGACTGCGTCCTTTACAAGAAGCACAGTTCTTCGACGCTCAATTGAAGTTCTTTCTGGAAGTGCTGAGACTGGCCACTGAGATCTGGGCTTACAGAGGAAACCTGGACCGTTGAACCAATGTAATGATGCATTTAAATCCGAGGGCAATGCACCCCGAGATAATATATCCGCGGGATTCAGTGTTGTAGGTATATAGTGCCATTCCATTGCTGATGTGAGATCTTGTATCGTGGCGATGCGATTTGAAACAAAAACGTTAAATCGTCCGGGCTCGTCATTGATCCAAGAAAGCGCAACAGTAGAGTCAGACCAACAATGAAACTCGCCTGCGAAAATGCCTAAGCGAGCCACTTCATTCATTAGACGCGCAAGCAACTCTGCCCCGCATAGTTCCAGCTTGGGAACCGTGAGCGTTTTTAGAGGCGCAACTCGAGACTTAGAGCAAAGCAACCTGCTGATGGTATGCTGACCTCTGGATACAATATAAATGCAAGCTCCGTATGCCTCGATGCTGGCATCGCAGAATCCATGGACCTCAACCTTCGATCCTGGTATTAATGATAGCCTGGGAAATGCACTACTAAGACCATTGCCAAAGTTGCTGCAAATGTCTAGCCATGCAGTGTGACATGCAGACGGGAGACTCTCATCCCAATCAAGTTTATGCCTCCAGAGTTGTTGCAAGAAGATTTTAGCTTTCGTTATTACTGGGCCGACCAGGCCGAGGGGATCATAAAACCTAGCAATAGACGAGAGAACAGAGCGCCTGGAGGGCTTAGAGGCTGAATTCAGAGCTAGATATGAGAAAAGAAGTTGATCAGATGCCGGATCCCATGCAAGGCCAAGTGTCTTTGTAATGTCGCTGCCATCGTTGAACCTAATGAGCGATTCCTTGTCGCAGTCTGTTACGCCGTCCAGTACCATGGGATGGCTTGAACACCACTTCCTCAATTTAAACTTCCCACATGCCAAGATTCCAGCTGTCTCTTGCATAACAAGTCTTGCTTCTTCGACGGAATTTCCTCCACTAATCAAATCATCAACATAGAAATCGCGAAGCAGTACGTCGGACCCGACTGGGAATGCGTTCCTTTCATCTACGGCAAGCTGATGCATGGCGCGCACAGACAAAAATGACGCTGGTTTTGTTCCATATGTTACCGTATCAAGCCTGAAAACTTCCAACTCATCATCTGGCGAATTCCTCCATAAAATGCATTGTAGATAGCTGTCCGGCTCAGGTACTTTCACGCAACGATACATTTTGCAAATATCGCCGGTGAGTGCAACTGGATAAGATCGGAAGCGCAATAATATGTCGACTAATTTTGGCTGAATGACGGGACCTGACATTAGAATGTCATTCAACGAATGCCCAGTTGTTGTAGATGCAGATCCATCAAAGACGACGCGAAGCTTGGTAGTTGTGCTATCATCCTTCAGAACGCAGTGATGAGGAAGAAAATATCTGCATAGATGGAATGAATTTAGAGGAACGCGTGACATGTGACCAAGTTCAAGATACTCTTTCAGAAATGCTGAGTATTGAGACTTTATATGCGGCAAACGACTCAATTTCTTCTCCAAATTGAGAAACCGATGTCGCGCTTGCTCATAAGAATCTCCAAGAAGCTCACAACTAAGCTTAACAGGCAGGCGTACTGTATATTGGCCACTAGCCAATCGATTGTAATGCCTCGCAAAATGCGCTTCGCAGTCTGAGTCTTCCTTGCTGAACTTTACAATGGAATCGCTGCAGCGCTCAACTTCCCAAAAGCGACGAACGAGACTGTCCAACTTGATATTAGCACAGGAGTCTGTAATCGGATCCAAAGGCGTCTTTGAAGCTATTAGCACGGAGTTGTGGTTGCGAGCCTCGCCACCTGATACAACCCAACCAAGACGAGTCTTCTGTAACAATGGAAGTCCAGGCATCAACTTGATTTGTCCCACACAGAGCAAATCGTAAAACAGGCTAGCTCCGATAAGCAGATCTACTCGTTGCGGCCTATGGAAAGCTGGATCTGCCAGCACTATATTTTGCGGTATGCTCCAATTGCTCGTATTCACATTAGAACTGGGCTGCCTGCCAGTTATATTTGTAGCTACCATAGCCGTTATGCTAGTTGTATATTCAGATGCATGAGCTTGAAGAGTGAGGCAAATGCTGCTGCCATCCATGGCAACATTGGAGTCGCCTACGCCGCATACAGATGCCACCGATTTTGTTCTCTTAAGTTGCAGGAGATTCGCAAATCTGGCTGTAATGAGATGTAGTTGAGAGCCTGAATCTAAAAGTGCACGACAAGGAACAAGCTCGCCAAACCGATTCCTTGCCAGAACCACTGCGGTAGCCAGGAGCACAACATCGCTGTGCCGATCCTTGGATAAGAGAGTAGTGGCTGGTGCTGAGGGCTGAGGGATGGTCTGTACTCTTGATGTTGAAGATTGTTGATGGGGCGGAATTGCTGCCTGCGATGTGCTGGAGTGGCCGAGATGAAGAAGCGTATGATGCTTGACTCCACAGACCCGACAACTGCGCGAGCCACATTGTCGCGACTGATGACCTCCCTTGAGACAATTCAAACATAAGCCAGCCTTTCGGACCTCATTCAGGCGAAGACTAGGAGACAAGTTTGCGAATCTTGGGCATTTGTAGATTGTGTGCTCAAGATCATTACAAAAATTGCAACTGTGAGTACTGTGGCCGGTTACGAGAAATGCTGATCTACTGGTAGCAACCTTACTGCAAGAATTCATCGGCTTACTTGACGAATAGTTTGTAAGAGCAAATTTCATCGATTCCAAAGTACGGCAACGAAGCTCAAGAAATGAGGAGACTTCTTCATATCTGGGTATCTGAAGAGCCGTCTCTGAGTTGTCCAATTTCTCTTCCCATTTAGCTTGTGAGGCCTCATCAAGCTTCTGTAGCAGTATCTGAGCAATCATGGCACTGGCTATCTGCTCTGTTGTGCCCAGACTACTGAGCGCACGCATATGGACATTGAAGCTGTCAGATAGCTCACGCAGCTTGATTATGGATCCGTTTTCTACTCTTTTGAGACCTAAGATCTTTACGATGTGGGCCTGGAAGATTAAACGTCGGTTATCATATCTCTGCTTTAATAAATTTATGGCAATTGTATAATTATCATTAGAAATTTCCAAAGAGCGAACCGTATCCAACGCTGCGCCATCGAGGCAGGACCGGAGGTGCTGAAGTCTTTCCATATTGCTGATTTCTGGCCGACTTTCAATGATTGTAGAAAACATTGAGTAGAAATCAGCCCAATTAGCATATCCACCGCTGAACGTAGGTAACTTTAATGGCGGCAACGCAGGTGCAGCCTGCAATCTGGGAGCGGATGCGCGAGGAGGGTCACTTGGACGACTAAACGTGGAACTATGATGCACTTGAGCAGTACGACTTTGCACTTCGGACATTATTGTTGACTGCATGACCATTATTAAATCATCAAAGTCAGTGCGCAAATTGCTGGACATCTCAGTAAAGTCGAGCTCCTCTAGACTTTCATGGGCCTTGCTAAAGGAGTGGCTTAGCTTGTCGATATGCTCCAGTAGAACATTTAGAGTGCTGTCACTGTGATCGGCAAGAGCATCTGAATCGACCTTGGATTGTAGCTTTTTTACGCGTTCAAATACCGACTGTACCTTGAGCTTATAAAACCGCACGCGATCTTCGGGAGCAACTGCACTAGCATCTAAATTCGCCATGACGAGTACAGCAAGAGCAACACGATAGAGTTCAAAGTCGTTGGTGCGAGCGCGATTGCAAGAGTAAGTAAATGTATATATGCTATAGCGCAGACTTGGAATAAGTCGTATTTGTCGAGCAGAGTACTTGCAACTTTAATAAACTGGCAAAGAATTATATTATGGTACTCAAATAATATACACGTATGAATTGTTGCACACCGGTACGATTATTATGGACGCGCTCGTATCGCAGCCGTGGTGAAAGAGTGCAATGTCAACGAAGAATAACGGCAAGCATGTAATTACACTGTGCTTATGTAAACTTAATCACTTATAGATTGAAGCTATAGAACACGCAGTCACTAACCATAGACATAGTTCAGAAATTAGTTGATTCTTTATTAGATTGTCAATTGCAGAAGTTTTCGCATGTGTACTACTTTTACGGGCGCCAGTGTATTGCAGACCGAACGAAAGAGTGTCTGGCGAATTGGCAAAGTAACGGCACGCAACTAATCGCTATATACAATGCTTATGTTCACGGGTGTATGTATGTATGTGATGCTGTCAATATATATATGCAAATATGTAAAGAAACGAAAAGAGATCACGTCGGGGTCACCAAATGTTGAGCTATCGAGATTTTTCGAATAGCTTTAAATTATTAAACGATTGAATTTACTTAGTGATTAGTTTATTAGCGATTATTAGAGTTTACAGAGTTTATGTGATAGACGCGAGCAAGCGACTAGTCTGTCGTGCTGTCCGCTACTATGTTTGTAATAGTCAATCTAACACTGCATCTGCTCTAAACAAGAGTTAATTGCATACTAACTACAATGTACGCGAGCCGGCGGATTAAGCTGAGCCGGTGCGTGGGTGAAAGAGACAACGCAAAAGGGAGAGCGTGATCTCCGTTACAAATTCTCTTACATGATAACATATTCTATGAACTGCCGCTCTTAATTACAATGAAGCGATGATTGCTGAGCCCAACACCGGTGTTTCTGCATTAACAAGCAAATGTCTACAATTATTAGTGGATGTTTCTGGATTAACAAGGAAAACAATTCAGCGCTATATACAATTACTTATCGATGTCATACAGGAAATTTCCTGAATGAATGAAATTAATGAAATTTAAAATTAAATTTTATATTAATTTGTTCTCTGATATGTATTAAGCATCGTCTAATCGAATATATCAGAATAGAAAATACATTGAAATGCAAGAAGTTGATTTAGATACAAAAATCAATGTATATCGATAAATTGAAAAAGGAAAGAGTTTTGAAAACCAGAGTATTAAGATGTTTATATAAATTTTGATTTAAGTTTAGACTTCAAAGTAAATTCTCATCAATAAACAACTGAATAGAAAAATTTAAGAGAATTTAATAAGCTATTCAGCATATCTCATTTCTGAAGGTCAAATACGTGCCTATCATGGTCAAAGCATATTTTAAAGAGCTTAGGTCTTCTAACTTCACACAAAACAAAATTGTATTTTTTTTTTAAATGTATTTCAAAGCATTTAGGGTGTACAAATTGTAAATGTCCAAATCTTAAGTCAAACACGAAGGCGTTTGTGATGCCCTGAAGGCAAGAGCTTTGACCCATTTCAATGTTGTAGCCAGAATTTTGATGCAGCTGACAAACCAGACGGAGTCAAAGCAGTCAATTAGCATAGAAATTGGGTTTTCAGCTTGATTGAGGTGCAGCAAAAGAAATCTACAAATGCTCAATGATTGAAAGAAGACCAATTGGCCAGACACCTATTTGACATGCGGCAAAACGAATTAAACAAACATGCCACAAAGTGCACCAAGCAATTTGGGCAACAAAGGATGAGCCACTCGAAATGTTGCAAATTGTCTTAAGTAATTGAGTTTCCAGTCAATTAACAGACCATAATAAGTCAAAGCAAAGCCAAACAAACTAAATTCTAAGACTCATACAAAGGCATCGATATGCACATCTGCATACGCATGTAGATTCGCCTGCATGTTTGTGCATGCGTAACTCAATTTGGTTGTTGAAGAATTTGCGAAGACAAACTTATCGATTTGTTGAAAATTCTATTTGAAAACTCGACTAACTCAATTTGATGTTGCAATTTGTAGTCCTTGGCAGCGACAGCAACAAATGCAACAGTCTGCAGCAGTACAACGGCCGGACAAAGTTTTTCTGTGAGAATACTTGGCTTTAAATAATAAATAGCGTTAAAAGCAAGGGAAGGGGCAATGCGGAAAGAAAAGAAAGCAAGGTAAAACAGAGCAGAAGTGAAGGGAACTGTGTCTAGTGTTGGCCACTTCAGAGTCAAGTGGCAGAGAGACGGCATAAATCGTGCCACAACATAATGAGCGCCAAGGACAGCAACAGGATGCAAATGTTGCCTTCGAAATTGGATTCATTGCCCACTGAGTTCTCGGTATTTGGCCAGAAGCTACTGCCTGACGTGTGCGCCCGTTATGGGCCACGAAATTAGTTTAAACTTGGCGGAAGCCGAGGCCGAGACGGCAACTGTTGCAAATGCCTAGCAGCTCCTTCGAATGATTTCGTTATTATTATTGTTGCTCTTGCTGTTGTTGTTGTTGCATTTTTAACTCAGTAGTTTTCTTCTTTTTTCGTTCTCCCCCTTTTTCCAGATGCTGCGCACCAACGGGCAGGAGACTGGGCCAAACACACAGACGTCAGCCACAACGATGCCCAATCTCGAGTAGGTGGACAGTTGGAAGCCACAAAGGAAAATCGTTTGGGATATTAACATAAGAGCAAGGCTGACTCACAACAGCAACAACAACAAGAGAAACAGCAAAGGAATATTGGAAAATCGAAAAGAAAATCAACAGCAAACCAATCAAAATGCGTTCTCTGGCCAAATCAAGCGGCTTTAATAGCACCGATGATGATCTGGCTGGCCTGGATGCTGCGAATCGAACCGAATCCATATACAGCATTAAGTCCAACTGGATAACCGAATGGTAAGTGGACTGTAAAAATGGATTTTGGCATGACTACAATTATTAACGAAATTTGCTTTAGTAGAGTGATACTGAAAAATGTTTTAGCAATTCAGCTAAAGCTAAGCTCATATGACAGGGAATATAATAGGTATATCCTTAAGTTTTTATAGCCTCTAAACTTAAAGAGTCCGACCTAGATCAAGGTTCTATATACTTTATAGGGTTCAATCATGCATCTATCGACCTTGTATACAAAATCAACTTGTAGTAGATCCTATCGATGCTGAGATATAAATTGATTGAGTTTTAATTATATTTTAGCTTAATAATTTTTAAAATTTTTAAAGAATTTAGATTGAAGGGATTGATAGTCTAATAATTAGATATAATAAAAATAAAAAATTCCTATAAAATGATTCAGTTCATCTGATCCTATATATTTGTATAACTATATATACAAATTCTTTTCCCTTAGGCGCGTACGAAAGGAGCGTGAGAATCTCTGCCGTGGTCTTTACAATAGGGTCGTTGAGCACACGGAATGCAAACGTTTGTTGGAGGCGGCCAAGATCTATGGTGAAATAACGGACTTTAACACCTGGTCACCCAACGAGCAGTTCCAATGGTATCGCAATTTCGGTGCCAACCTGACGAACTTTGGCCGGAATAGCTCGACGGAGACGAGTGCCACGCCCATGGAGGATAGCGGGCCGGCACTGGTGTTGCCGCCATTCGAAACATGGCAGACAATCGCCATTGCGTTGTGCCTGTTCCTCTGCATCATTCTGACGGTGGGCGGCAACATTCTCGTCCTGCTGGCCTTCATTGTCGATCGGAATATACGACAGCCCAGCAACTACTTTATAGCCTCGTTGGCCGCAACGGATATGTTGATAGGTGGGTGGAGGCCTGAACTAACTGTTATCTAAATTACACACCATATTAGATGGACTGACAGATTAGGTATTTGACTAACTAATGATCTATAATTAACTGATTAACTGATTATTTCAACCTTTGCGTGACCGCTTACTTGATAGATTCATATCCAGTGATTATAGGAATGAATTACTGATTGATTAAGTGTTGCAAGTTTGTGAATATCATAATGATTAAGTAACTATGATTGAGTGACTAGTGATTGATTTATCGGCACACTGATTGACCGAGTGTTTGATCAACTGTGTGGATCACTGGTTAACCTAGTCATTGATAAACTGATTGACTACTGATTGACTTAGGGATTAGCTTACTGATTGACCAACTATGTTTGAGTGATTGGCTACATAACATCAGCCACTACTGATTGATTGATCAACATAATTATTGTCTGCGTGCTTGATAAACTTTGTGGATCATTGATTAACCTAGTCATTGATACGCTGATTGACTACTGATTGACTTAAGGATTAGCATACTGGATGAGTATTTAGATGGATCATTCATAGATTGATAGATCCTTAATTGATGGCTGGTTGCGTGATGATGTTTAGCTGATTAACTAAATAATCAATTAATTAATTGACTGGTCACTCATAGATTGATTACTCATAGATTGATTAAGCTGTAATGACGACTGATTGATTGACAAACCCAAACCACTTAATTGGCTGTATAATCTATCTATATTATCTATTGATATTAACTGAACTTTCATTCGTGTACTGGCTGATTACTGATGAATAACTGTCAATAGATTGATGATGACTAATATAAGGCGTTGTTTATATAATATATATTGTTTGACTGTATGACAGACGTGATTGAATTGAATTATGCTTTAGTGACTCTTAAAAGTAATCATTTTTAATACTCTCTCTCTCTCTCTCTCATACTGTCTCTCTCTCTCTCTCTCTCTCTCTTCCATGCGTAGGCACCGTTTCGATGCCCTTCTATACCATCTATGTGTTGAAGGGCTATTGGGATCTGGGACCTTTACTCTGCGACTTGTGGCTGTCTGTGGACTACACCGTCTGTCTGGTCTCCCAGTACACCGTCTTGCTGATCACCATCGATCGCTTCTGTTCGGTGAAGATTGCGGCCAAGTATCGC